AGAAGAGAAGGAGAAGAGAAGAGAAGAGAAGAGAAGAGAGGAGAGGAGAGGAGAGAAGAGAAGAGAGGAGAGAAGAGAGGATGGAGAAACGAGCGGGGGCAGCAGGAGCTGCTGGAGGAGGCGAAGGAGTTGCAGCGGCAGAGGGAGCCCAGGGGGAGTGGAAGGGAAGGAGCAGCAGAGGGAGCAGAAAGAACAGAGGGTGGCCCTATCCCAGGGCCCTGAGAATGCAACGCGGGACGGAGGACAGCTCGAGGAGGAGGAGGAGAAGCAGCAGCAGCATCCGCGGGAGGAGTGGGGTCAGGGTTGAGAATGAGGAGGCGGAGGAGGAGGAGGAGGAGGAGGAGGAGGAGGAGGAGGAGGAGGAGGAGAGAAGGGTGGGAGGGAGCAGGCAGCCCTGCCCCGCCGCCAGGGATGCGCGCGCCAGATGACGGCGAACCACCGCGGCTGCCCCATCTGCCGCCATCCAGGAGCGGCCTTCTTGGTTGGGGCGCCTCTTGCAACATGTGGCTATTGAGGCCAGCTCTTCCTTTGGTGTCGACGATCCAAAATACCCACGTTTCCCATCTCTCTCCCCCCCCATTGCCTCCCGCTCTCCGCCCCTCCCATGCTTATCCGTGAGGGATTTGCCTCTTGACGCCGGCCCCTTCTCTCGGAGAATGGGGTATGCAAGAGCTATGTTCTGAGGCATGGGCGCCGTCGTGAAGCAGCGTCGGAACTCCGAACGGGGGCCACTGGAGATATGAGCGCTCCAAAACCATCAAACACCTGAGGAACATCGCAGATGTTGGGCCTTGGGCGTGCTCTTGGAGCGCTCTTTGGGGCATATTGGGAGCCTCTTGGGCCGTCTTGGGACCATCTTGGGCGCCTTGGAGCACTCTTTAGCGGTCTCGAAGGCCTCTTGTATTGTCCTGGCGGCCGTGTATAAAGGATTGTGGGTTCGAAAGCGCGAATAGCGCGTGTTTTGCAAGGATTTATTATTTCTGGGACGCGAAGAGCGCGTAATTCAGAGGGGATCGTGGCTTCGTGGACGCAAATTTTCAGGGATTAAGGTCTCGGGAGCGCGAGCACAGCGTAATTTGCGATGGTGCATGGCCTCGGGGATGCGAATATGGTGTAATGTATAGGGGGTTGAGGCCTCGGGGGCGCAAATACGGCGTAATTCACAAAGGATTATGGCTTCGGGGGCGCGAATCTCCCATATGTTTGAGGCTCCCAGGGACCCCCAGACACTTTGAGAACCCCCCCAACAGGTGGTGGTAACCCGGGCCCTTTGCGGCTCCCCCCGTCGCGTGGACCTCAAGAGTTTACAACAGGAAGCACAAAGCAGGACTGCAACGTGGGAGGCTGGAAACAGCAAGCCTAACCCGCGGAGCCTGGTGGCCCCACAGGGGGGCCGCCGGATTCTTGTCCGCTCCCTCCCTTCCATCCTCTCTTCTCTCCCCCCTCCGACAGGTGGCCACCTGTCCCTCTGCGGACTGGTGCCGACGGTGTGGATTTCGTGGGCGGAGCGCAGCCAGAAGTAGGAGGAGTGGGGCGGAGCGAAGGAGCAAGAGGGGGAGGACCAGGACGAGAAGGAGATGGAAGGGGACGAGAAGGAGGAGCAGGGGGAGAAGGGAGGTCACGAGCTCCCCTGGCGACAAAATGGGCCTCCCCACCTCTCTGCGCCGGAGGCTTGTGGCGCCGCCCACGCAGTCGGCGTTGGGCTCGACGGCGACGTCGACCATTCCACTGTGCGGGGGGAGGATTCGCGGCGGGGGCGGCGACGACGGCGACACCAGTTCGCGTGTCGAGGGCGATGACGGGGTGTCCGTCCTCGGCGATGGCGGCGTCGTCGCCGATGACGGCGAAGCCGGGGGTCCCGCCCAGGGCGGCGGTGCAGCGCGCGAGAGCACGGCGAACCCTAGGCGACGGTCGTCGGCAGCGACGGCGCCGCCGCTGGGGGCGACGCCTGCGCAGACGACGAGGACCTCGTGGACGCGGCGGCACAGGCGGTCCGCGGCCGGGCCGCGGCGGCCAGCTGACGTGGTGGTAGCGGCGGGTGAGGGCGCGCTGGTGGGACCTGCGGCCGTGCAGCCTGCAGTGTCGGACCAGTCGGTGGGCCTCAAAGAGCCACGCTTTGGCGGCGGCTGAGGGTGCGCTGGCGGGAGCTGCGGCCTTGCGGCCTGCAGTGTCGGATCAGTGGGGGCTCTTCCGCGCGGCCGCGCTGGGGCTGGCAGGCTGCCGTGGCGGCCCCCAGGTGCGCGGCCACCTTGGGTCCGGCGCCCGGTTTGGGGGTATCTCGGGGAGGCCGGCGGCATGCTGGGCTGTGGCGCGCAGCCGGGGGGGGATTGGCCAGAAGCTGCCATGGGCGGCTGCTGCCACGGGAGGCTGCCAGGGACCCGCGCGCCCGGCGCCCCCCTTCCCCCTCTTCTTGTTTCTTCTTCGCCTCCTCCTCCTCCTCCTCCTCCTCCTCCTCCTCCTCCTCCTCCGCCTCCTCCTCCCCCTCATCCTCCTCCTCCTCCTCCTCCTCCTCCTCTCTCCCTCCTCTCCTCCTCCTCCTCCTCATCCCTCCTCCTCCTCCTCTCCTCCTCCTCCCTGAGCCATCCTCTTCCTCCCCCACTCTCGTCCTTCTTGCTCCTACTCATCCTCCTGCCTTGTCCTCCTCCTCCTCCTCCTAGCCCTCCTCCTCTCCTCTTCCTCCTCCTCCTCCTCCTTCTCCTCCTCCTCATCCTCCTCCTTTTCCTCCTCCTCACCTCCGCCCCCCCCTGCTTGGATAGCAGGGGCCCCGTCGTCGACTCGGGGATAGCCGGGGCACCCCCCACTGGCTGAGCCAGTGGGGCGGTCGGCGCCGCCTGGATCGGCGGTGTATAAGTAGAGCTGGGGACCAGGCCGCAGGATTGGCGGAGGCGGGAGGGGTCGCGCCTCCCCCGGGGGAGGGGGTAGGCTGCTGTGGGACTGTGCCCCTCCCCTCCTCCTCTCTCCCTTCTCCTCGTCGCCTCCCCCTCTCGTCTCCTCTCCTCCCCCCGGGGCTCACAGCTCCCACGGCGGTTCACCCCCCCGCCGGGGCAAGGCCGGGGTACCTGCGGCGGCGCGCGGAGCGCGCCGCGGCCGTTAGTCACGCGGTGGTCGATGTTTCGGCCGCGTGCGCTTCAGGAGTCTCCGCCCTGTCGCCCAGGACAGGCCCGGGGGTAGGCGGCAGGCTCGTTTTCGCCGCCGTCGTGCGCGTTTCGCATCTTCAGAGGTCACGCCAGCAGAATCCTCCTC